GTTCTCCAGGAACCTAGTTGGTGTCGGCTGCCTTCAGGACCTTGGCGTCACCACTACGTTCCCTGGACACGAGCGGTACGCTGTCTGTACCGAGGCCGCCACTGGTGCCCCTCTGTCCACGTTCCCCCGGGACCCGGTGTCCAGTCTTTTCACACTGGACACGGTGATCCCCCCGGCTGGGACCCCCCCTCAGGTGGCTGCGTCTCCTCAGGTTGCTGCTACCTGCTCTTGTCGGTCTCTCACCCACCTGACCCTTCTCAAGCACCACCGCCTAGGTCACCCTGCGCTCCCGCGTCTGCGTCACATGTCACAGCACGGTCTCGTCCTAGGCCTCCCCGGATCGTTCCCTGAGTTTCCCTCCTCCCCAGCCCCACCTTGCATGCCCTGCGTCGAGGGCCGGCTCCGCCGTGCCCCTCAATCCTCCTCGTTTCCCCCTACCACAGCACCGCTACAGACTCTGCACATGGACGTCTGGGGCCCCGCCCCCGTCCATGGGCCGCGTCGAGAGCGCTACTTCCTAGTGCTTGTCGACGACTACACGCGCTACACCACTGTGTTCCCCCTGGAGCGGAAGGCCGACGTGCCTGCCGTTCTTATCCCATGGCTGGTCGCTGCGCGTGTCCACCGCGGTCTCCCTGTCTTGCGCCTCCACTCTGACCGTGGTGGCGAGTTTGCCTCTGGTGTCCTTGGTCGTTTCTGTCGTGCGGAGGGCATCACCCAGACGTTCACCTTTCCAGACTCCCCGCAGCAGAATGGGGTTGCTGAGCAACGCATCGGTTTGGTCATGGAGGTGGCTCGCACCTCCATGATCCATGCCGGTGCACCCCATTTTCTGTGGCCGTTCGCCGTTCGCTACGCCGCTCACCAGCTTAACCTGTGGCTGCACCCCCAGCAACCTCAGGTTTCGCCGACCCTTCTTTGGTCTGGGTCACCTGGTGACGCGTCTGCGTTCAACGTCTGGGGCTGCCTTGCTCACGTTCGTGCCTCTGGCACGAACAAGCTCACTGCTCGCACCCTTCCCTGTGTCTTCCTCGGCTTTCCCCTTGACGCGTCTGACTGGCACTTCTACCACACGCAATCTCACTGGTTCTTTCACTCTCGCGACGTCACCTTTGACGAGTGCGTCTCCTTCTTCCGTCGCTTCCCCCACCGCGGTCCCCTAGTTACCCCCCCCCTGTTCCTGGTCCCCTCTTCCCCGGTCGTCGCCGCCCCTCCTCCTCCCCCTCCCCGTCCTTCCCCCTCTGGTGTGTCCCACGTCACCCCACTTACGTCGGTTGTCCCGGTTGAGGAGTCTGCTGACTCTGGTGGTCCTGCAGCGCAGTCCTCGCCGCCTTCCCCTTCTCCGATGTCTCCTCCTCCGCCACCTCCGCAGCCGATGTCGCCCCCGCTGTCCCAGCCGCCGTCGTTGCAGCCGCCGCCGCCGCAGCCGTCGCCGCAGCCGTTCATTCCCTCTGGGGGTGCTGGAGTTGGGGTGGGTACCTAGTCCTGGGAATCCTGTCGTGGCTTGTCCCGGCGGGCCTGGGGTTGGTACCGGTGCTCGAGGGGTTCTGGGCTCTGGGGGTGTTCCTTCTGGGTGTGCTGGCGTGGAGTGTTCTGGAGGTAGCCGCCAGGCCACTTGTGGTCCCGGTGTCGGTGTCACACCGCCGCTGCAGCAGTCCCCGCCGGTGTCCGCTCTTCGTCTGCTCAGCCTTCCGTCCCCTGACCCCGTGCCCATGCCTCCTCCTCCTCCTGTCTACGGTCCTGTGTTCCCTCCTCCGGACTTGTCTCTGGCCCGTTTCCCCCCTCGTTACCCTCTTTTGTCCCCTCCTCTGTCTCCCGACCCGACTCCTCCGTCTCATGTCTGGTCTCGCCGCCCCTCCCGTGCTCAATCTGTCTCCCCTGTCTCGCGCTCTCACCCTATGTTGCTATGTTCCCATGCGTCTCGTCCTCCCCTTCTCCCGTTGCCCCCTCCATCCTCCCTTGTTGCTGCTCCCCAACCTCTGTCTGACTACCTGCATGCCACTCGTCCTCTTGTTCCTCGCATCCTTGCCTCTCTCGTTACTGACCCGTCTGTTCCCGTTTCGAGTCTTGATGCCCTTCTCGCTGCGGTTGCTGACTTCGCCTCTACCCGCCGCCTTGACTACGCCACCGCTCTGGTCTCTGACCCTGCCTGTCCTCCGTCTGCCAAGGGTGCTCCTGCCCTCGGCAGTGACGTCCTAGAGGATCGCCAGTACGAGCTTGCTGTCCTGTCCGAGGCTGCTCCCCATCTATGCTCTATGCTTCTAGTCCCTGAGGGTGACCCTGACGCTTTCGACATCCCGACCCCTCGCACTTACGCTGAGGCGGTCTCGGGACCATGGGCCTCTCAGTGGATAGCTGCCATGGAGCAGGAGATGGCATCTTGGAGATCCACCGGCACCTACGTCGACGCAGTTCCCCCACTTGGGGTGAACGTAGTCGATGGCCACTGGCTCTTCAAGGTGAAGCGCCCTCCTGGAGAGCCGCCTGTGTTCAAGGCGCGCTACGTGGCTAGAGGTTTCAGTCAGCGTGAAGGGGTGGACTTCTTCCAGACCTTCGCTCCGACCCCGAAGATGACTACTCTTGGGGTGCTACTACACGTAGCATCTCAGCGTGACTACGAGCTTCACTCCCTCGACTTCTCCAGTGCATTTCTTCAGGGCAGTCTACACGAGCAGGTCTACCTGCGCGACCCTCAGGGCTTCACTGGCACCTTCCCTCCTGGGACCCAGTGGCTCCTGCGGCGCCCCGTCTACGGCCTGCGGCAGGCTCCCCATGAGTGGCACGACACGCTGCGTGCTACGCTTGCTGACCTGCAGTTCTTTCCGTCCTCTGCAGACCCCTCGCTCTTCGTTCGTGCTGGCCAGACTCCGTTCTACATCCTTGTTTACGTAGACGACCTGGTCTTCGCCACGGCAGAGAGGGACGCACTGGCCTCCGTGAAGGCAGAGCTGCTGAAGAGACACACCTGCAGTGACCTTGGAGAACTGCGCCACTACCTTGGCTTGCAGATCTCCAGGGACAGAGCAGCACGTACTATCATTTTGACTCAGTCACACTTGGTGCACCTGGTCCTTCAGAGGTTCGGCCTTCAGTTCTCCTCCGCACAGCCCACTCCTCTGCCCCTAGACCAGAGGCTCTCTGCTCCTGTTCCAGAGGAGTCTGCAGAGCCCAGTGGTCCTTACGCAAAGCTGGTGGGTTGCCTCATGTACCTGATGACTTGCACTCGCCCAGATCTCGCATACCCTCTCAGCATCCTGGCTCGCTTTGTGGCTACAGGCAGACACCGACCTCAACACTGGTCTGCCGCTAAGAGGGTTTTGCGTTATCTTGCAAGTACATCGGGCATGGGGTTCGTGCTAGGAGGGCGCAGGCCAGTGGTCCTTACTGGGCACACAGACGCTTCTAGGGCAGACGACGCCGAGACCCTCAGGTCCTCGCAGGGCTACTACTTCAGCCTTGGTTCAGGTGCCGTCTCGTGAAGAGCTACCCGCTCCTCGTCTGTTGCCCAGTCCAGCTGTGAGGCCGAGATCTGCGCCGGTGCCATGGCGGCACAGGAGCTCCGCTGGCTGACCTTTTTGCTCACTGACTTAGGTGAGCGGCCTAGCTCTGCCCCGTTCCTTTACGCTGACAATAGGGCCATGATCCTCCTGTGTCAGGAGCCTCGACTCGAGGGCAGAGGGAAGCACATCCAGCTGCGGTACTTCCTCCTGCGCGAGCTCCAGCAGCGCCGCCAGGCGCGCGTAGTACACTTGGCCTCCGGTGCCAACACAGCTGATATCTTTACGAAGGCGCTTGCGCCTAAAGATCATCAGCGGCACTGTGTACAGCTAGGTCTCGTTCCTGTAGCCTCTCATTTGCTAGGGCCTTGACCTTGTACTGTCCTTTATATATATATTTTACCCTGACTGGCCTTGTGGCCTCTCCCAGTGGCTGGACTAGTAGTGCCGCCCTGGTCTTGCTCTTGCCTTGTCTGTATTCCTTTGACTGGTCTTTAGACCCTTGTCTCAGCGGCTGGACTAGTAGTGCCGCCTTGAGCTGCTTCTTCCCTTGTTAGGCACTGCCCCTATATAGTCTAGAGGATGTGTCAAACATAACTTTTGCAGTTACTGTAGACTATATATATTTGTGCCTTAGTGGGTACAACTCTCTAGACTATATTGCCTTGTATCTCCCCACTCTAGTCATTATTCTTTCTGATATAGCTTTCGTCATTTTGGTGTAGATTCCTCAAGTTGTGTGGCAGTTTGGTCCAACTTCTCATCACATTGCATTTTTTGTTTGCGACCCTGAACGATACCTCAGCGATTCCATATGGCATGTGATGCTTGAGTGACTGGTTCCAATTCTATAACATGTTCGAAACACAAAACTCAAAAACATTCTTTTGCTGACCCTAACAAAATGTGACACCACCACTACAAACGCACACAGACGGGAAACTTTGCCGCACCCCGCAAGGGATCGTGCCCATCGGCCTCACAAAAAGGCCATTGACGCCTTTTTTCCATGCGTTGGCGAGTTGGTTGGGCAGATTTTCGAGGTTGCTTTGTCGCGATAGGTCTGAACTTCCAGCTGTGTTGCTCCCAACATTCGGGAGCAGCTGCAATTCACAGCTGTCGTTCAACTTGCGTACATCGCAGAGTCCAATCAGAGCGTTACAGAAGTCGCACAAAATCGGCGCGTCAAACTGACGAGTGGCAGAATAGGCGGGAACATTTCGTCACTCCATAAACTGCCACGACGAAAGGCCCGTAGGAATGCGCCCTTACCTCATACACAGGACGCGAGCGGGTGGCGTCAGCTACCCGAGTCAACGTATGTATGAACAGTACAGCGAGAGGTTGCAGTGAGAAGTTGTAACATAAAGTTACGGAAAGAGGTTTAGTTGGAGGTTTGTTTAACATTTTTCCTACTACCTATGTAGTGATCGTTGCATTATCCTTGCTTGATATAGTGTGTCAGAAACCCAGTCACTAACCACTGGGTTAAAAGGGCTTGTTAAATAGCGGGTAAGTGCGCCCATAGCCCCCCAGGCTCTGCACCTGTGGCCCTTCTCCAAGGATCTTTTTAAGGGTAACCCAGCGGGTCACTCGACATAGTGTTCTTACAAGGGCCTCTGAGTCTTCTGCTGACTTCAACTCTCATGGTTCCAAAGAATCCTGATCCTGGGTAATTCCTTATTACAGGGACAGTAGCGTTTCTACAGGTACAAGCAAACACTCTTGAAAAAACCCTGAATCTGGGAGTTGGTGACGACACCGCTTTCAAGAACAAAATTGGATTACGCCAAAATTTTATGATACCTCGCATACCAAACGAGGGCAACAAAAAGGAGGAATGGCACTAGTGTTCCCAGCGCCACCACCTGAAAAAGCACAGCTCAGATAAAAGAGAGGAAAAAGATGCACTTGTGAGCAAAACACTCTGAGTAGGCAGGACGAACCAGTAAATAAGTACTATGCTTACTACGACCTGTGATGGAGGAAGGCAAAGACAAAGTACCAATACAGCGATTGAAGGAATTGGGTTGTAAACACACCCAGGCAAACGCTGAGGGGTCTGTGTTCCAGGCATAGGGGATGTTCATTCCAAATATGCCGACCACGGTGGCAGAGATGGAGGTGACCATGATGCCCGCGTTCAGCACCAGCTCCAGCTGCCACCCAGAGGCAGGGGAGGGGGGGGTGGGAAGGGGGGTTGAGTGGCAATGTATCTTGGTTCAATGCTACGCTGCCCTATAAAGGACCCAGAATGGAAAGGACGTGGGAGCATATCGGCCGACAGAGTGCATGTGATGAAGCACATGGGGCATGGTGAATGCGGGCGACGAAATGATTAGTGCTAAGTTGCACTAAACGCTCGAAATCCTCAACGTTTGTCGTATATACGACACGTATATACGCTATACGCCATACGAGCGTATAAACGCTAAACGCTCGGCTGAAATTTCAGGGGCAGCCCGTCGAAAAAAACTAAAAAAAAACGATCGCCACTTTGCGACGTGGCGAAGCCAGCCACACTATCGCGAAATGTCGAGATCCCAAATTTTCGCCCAAAACCAACTTCCAACCAATCTGCCCCCCCCAACCGCACTGCACCCCAAGGCATCTACCTATCCCAACCAAACCTAAAACGTGCCCTGAGTCCCTCTACCACCAAACACACTATACGTAAACCAGATCTCGTAACTTACCAGCTGCGTTAGGCGGCAGATTCAGCTACGATCAAACCTTAGGGAGCGCCGCGTCGAGTCGTTTTATAGGCAGTGCAATGTCGAACCCCCAGGATCCTCCTGTCGTAGCTGCAGCAGCTTCCGAGTCGTCTAACAAGTACGCACCTGATAGTACTCATGAGGTTTACAAGCACTTCAAGCTCTTGCTTCCTCAGCCTGATGGAGGCGTGCAAAGGTACGAGTGCAGGTTTTGCGCGGCGGTTTTTAGTGGCATACCAATCAGGTGTGCGCAGCATCTCTCTGGGTGGGATAATATGAGGCGTCGCGAGGTTGCATTGTGCGTGGCGGCGCCAAAGGAGGTCCGTGATGAAATACGCGCTCTATATGAGAAAAAAGGGCAGGCTAAGGCGTCAAAGCAGAATGCAACAGATGCAGCACTTGCTGCTGTTGGAGGAGGGGGGGGGAAACACGCCAAGATCACTGATTTCTTTGGCGACAAGGCTGCACATGCGCGGAAGGAGGCCGACGAGGCGTTGTGTCTTATGTTTGCCGGCCTCCGCATCCCGGAACACCACGTCCGCCACCCGCTCTTCCTCAATGCAGTGCGGGCAATCGGTGCTGCCGAACCTACCTACATGCCTCCCAACCGCAACTACATTGGCGGTGCAGGGTTGAAGGCTGTCCGCACGCCCATCGACGAAGGGCTGCAACCAATTCGGGAGACTTGGGAAGGCACTGGCGTGACGATTGCCTCCGACATGATGACCGACCGGAATGGTCGACCACAGGCGAATGTCCTCCTTGTGAACGACTCTGGAGCTGTCTTCGTGGAGAGCATCGATTGCCGGATGGAGAGCAAGACCGGCGGCTACATCGCCGGCCTCTTGCGCCCCATCCTGCAGAAGGTCGGACCAGAGAATGTGGTCGCACTCTGCATGGATGGCGGAAGCAACTACGGCAAGGCCTGCCGGGTTCTGATCCAGGAGCATCCGCACATCCAGCAGGTTCCGTGCGCCACCCACGTGCTGGACCTGATGATGGAGGACATCGGGAAGCAGTCGTGGGCGAAGAATGTCGTCCTCTGCGCAAACGAAGTCATTACCTACGTACGCAACCACCATTGGACGAGGAATTACCTCCGGGAGCCGGGGGAGCCAGGCGGCAAGGTGCTGCAGATGTTGAAGCCGGCGGGCACTCGGTTCGGCACTCAGTACATAGCCGTGTCCCGGCTTGTCAAGCTAAGGGAGAAGCTAGCGCAGATGGTGTCGGGCGAGCAGTGGAAGGCATGGGCGGTTGGGAATCAGAAGGAGGCGGCCGATGAGATCCAGAGCATCATCTTGGACCGGGCTTGGTGGGCTGCAGCAGAGTTCTTCGTGAAGCTGTTGAAGTTGCCGTACAACATCGTGCGGGCAACAGATTCGTCGGCAAAGGGGATGATGGGCAACATTTATGAACTCATGCTAAAGCTTACCGAGGATGTGCATGGCCTGCTGAAAAAGGATGATGAGCAGCTGCGGCCAGCCGACAAGAAGGGGATCACAAAGATCCTGCAGAAGCGGTGGGACAAAAGCATGGCTTGCCCCATGCATGCGGTTGGCCGGATCCTCAATCCGGCCAACCAAACAAAGAAGATTTTTGGCCCAGACACTGAGTGCACCAAGCTTTTCAAGGCATTTATCAGTGACTACAGCAAGAGCATCACCATCTCCAGGAAGGAGGTGAACGGCAAGAGCGCGGCAGTTGTTCTGCAGCAAGGGGTCACGGCGTTCTTGAAAATGAGGGGGAGCTTTGGTATGCCTACTGCAATCGAGCAAAGGGCGGACGTGAAGGCGGGGACGATGACAATGGAGGAATGGTGGATGTGGCATGGCACCGATTGTCCCGAGCTTGCAACGCTGGCACGCCGTGTGCTCACGCAGCCGGCATCTGCTGCCAGCTGCGAGCGCGGATGGGCGGTGTGGGAGTAGGTGCACACTGCGCGCCGCAACCGGCTGGATCAGAAAAATGCAGGGACTTGGTGTACGTTGCGCACAACTGGAACGTTGTGCACAACTGGCACCTGTCCAGCGAGGAGGAGAGGGTGGTGCTCGCCGGGAACATCCCAGAGCCCCCCACCCCGGCGGGCTACAATGTGGATGCGGAGGGGGAGCTGGTGGATGATGACCTGGAGGATGAGGCAGTACTGCATGATGAGTATGGGGAGGAGGAGGAGGAGGAGGAGGAGGAGGAGGAGGAGGAGGAGGAGGAGGAGGAGGAGGAGGAGGAGGAGGCTGAGGAGGAGGAGGAGGAGGCTGAGGGTTAGGGGGATGTGCAGCAGGTTTGGCAAGCATGCACTTGGGGGAGATGGGGGACGTGGGAGTGTGTTAGCGGGGTAGTACTTACTTGGCTGAGGGAAGGGAAGGGGCTTTGGGGAAACCTTGACATGTAAGTTATTTATGCCTTAAAGGCTTAAATTTGTTCTCTCTTACATGTTGCAATGAAAATCTATGCCTCACACTACATTCCCCTTTTTCCCCCCTCCCTAGGCGCGGTTTTTTTCCCTGCCCGGGGTAAACTTTTTCACCTGCCCGAACAAGCGTATACCTAGCGTATACTAGGCCCCAAAAAAGCGTATAGCGTATATACGCTAGCGTATAAAACGCCATACACGTTTAGTGCAACTTAGGAATAGTGCTATTGCCTCATAGCGTGGAGCGAGAGGGCAAGCGGATGGGGTAAGAAGGCACGGTCGATACGACAACGAGCTGCGAGTAAATGAGATGGTTGAGGCGAGCTCACCTGGATGAGTTGATTCCTGTGATTGTCAATCTGCAGCACGCAGCAACAAGACATGCGAAGGTGCATCAAGCCAGGATGAGATTAACAGATTAGAAGGGAGAGGAAATGAGAGGAAGGGAGCAGAAGGGCATTCAAGGGGGGGAAGAGAGACGAGGAGAGTGACAACGATCCAGCTGAGCAAGGCAGCCCCTGGTACGCCCAGCGATTCATGTCTGTATGAGCCCAGCATCTCACCTCTGCACCTCAACCCCAATCACAGCAAGCAACAGTCGCCCCCACCTGCATGCTGCGCCCACCTGCATGCTGTGCCCACCTGCATGCTGCGCGCACCTGGATGTTGATGTAGTCCTCGGTGTCGTCAATGTACTCCCTGAGCTGCCAGGCCGCAGAGGAGGGAGAGAGATGGGGAGAGAGAAGGGGGAGAGAGAGGAGAGAGAGGGGGAGAGAGAGGGGGAGAGAGAAGCGGGGGGGGAGGGAGAAAGGGAGGGAGGGAGGGAGGGAGGGAGGGAGGGAGGGAGAGAGGGAGGGAGGGAGGGAGGGAGGGAGGGAGGGAGGGAGGGAGGGAGGGAGGGAGGGAGGAAGACAATGGGGGGGCACACACATCGATGGAAGGCGAGTGGAGGGAAGAAGAACATCAATGGAGCCATGAATGAAGCTAAGTTGGTTCCTACGTTAACGTTTACGTACGTTTACACAATACTGGTTTAGGCCTGTATGTACGGGCAGCCTACATGTCTTCTGCTGCCCGGGAAAAAAAACTAGGGGGGACGGAAAGCTGACTTTTGTAAAAGCATTCATAGTTCAAAACTTCTAGTAGACTGATGAGAACATGCATTCGTTGACTGGTTGGCGAAATCCCGCGTGCGCGAAATCTCGTCGCTGGTGCGCATCAAATTTGACGCGCCAGCAATCGAACCAGTCAACGAACAACCCCTACGCAGCTCAACCCCCCTTGATATTTGTCTCCCCTTCCGCCCTCGACGAATGTCAGTTGCTAACCAACTCCCGCAGCAACAAAGTCTCGACCAAGTAGCATCTTAGGACTTGGAGGAGCGCTCATACCACCAGCTAGAGACGACGGAGATTGACGGGGGAAATCTATGCGGAGCAGGAGCTATCTCGGCCTCAGCGGTAGTCGAGCCCTCAACACACTAGTACAAGTCCTAGGTTGCTTTTGTTTTTCGGGGAATTTTTTGCCCGGAAAAAAAGGCCTGCCTGGCAGATGTACGCGTACGTTACGTGTACGTGGGCTAAAGACGCGTAAGGTAGCAACTTAGGAACGAAGCCATGACTGGAGCCAGCACTTGCAATGGTGCAAGGCTTCGGGTGGCATGCTGGTATGGGTGGCATGGGTGGTATCGGTGGCATGGGTGGTATGGGTGGCATGGGTGGTGTTGGTGGCATGGGTGGTATTGGTGGCATGGGTGGTATTGGTGGCATGGGTGGTATTGGTGGCATGGGTGGTATTGGTGGCATGGGTGGTATTGGTGGCATGGGTGGTATTGGCGGCATGGGTGGCATGTGTGGCATAGATGGCATGGGTGTGGATGGCATGGGAGTGGATGGCATGGGTGTGGATGGCATGGGTGTGGATGGCATGGGTGTGGATGGCATGGGTGCTCACAGTGAAGAGCTTGTTGAGGATGCTGTCGATCTGCACGAAGTACGACTGAGAGCGGCAGGGAACGAGCGCACGGGAAAAAGAGCGCACATGGAAATGTGGACCTCAAACTTGTGGGCTCATTGCTGGGCTCATCGGTGAATAAGAAACAAAATACATGAGCAGTCAAGTGGCTGCCCATAGGTCAGAGAAAGATCCACCATTCATAATCAAGTGGAGTAAAAACTGACTCGACTGAGATAGTTTCGCGGCCTCATCTGCGCGGATCGTTTCGACCGCCAATACGTGCGGATGTGGCGTCGACCCTCCAAGGTCGACTCGAGCAGGATCGGCCGTAAAGGTGAGACACCAGTCGGTTTTTCTAGTTGCCCGACTCAGACCGAGTGGAGTTGGACTCAACTCGTCTGCTGGGAGCAAGGTGCAAAAAAACAGCGTTTTTTTTAAAAAATTTACCGCATGGTATGGTACCAAAAATTTCGGCCATATAATACGATTAAAAACAGTCAGACGAGCCATTTTGAGTAGGCATGAGCAACGAGGCGAGGATTTCCTCGCCTCGGAAATCCTCGCCTCGAAATTCCGGGGGTCGAGGCAGGATTTCTGGGAAAAATCCTTGCGAGGAATCCTCACCCCGCCCCGGCGAGGATTCGAGGCCTCGACTTTTCCTCGAGGCAAATGGGCGAGGATTTTGTATCCTTGCGAGGAAAACCTGGATAAGGCTCATTCTTCCCGCACATATTCCCATTTCTCCCCCCCCCCCTAAACCCCCAGCCGCCCAGGTCAAGGAATCCTCGCCCCGGGTCAAGGAATTAATCCTCGAGGCGAGGATTTCAATCCTCGACCCCAAAACCCGGGGGTCGAGGGGGATTTTCAAGGATAATCCTCGGCGAGGATTCCTCGACCCGCCCCGACTATGGCGCGAGGATGAGATCCTCGGGTCAAGGAATCCTCGCCTCGCCCCGTGCTCATGCCTAATTTTGACGGTGGTGCAAAACAACGGCCGTTTTTTCCGGCGGTTTTTTTTTAACCAGCTGGAATATACGGCCGAAAATCGCGGCTTTACCGTCGAAATGCAGGGATCTGGCATTTCGCCAGCATAAATGCACGCATCTCGCGTTTCGACGGAAAAATGTCAGATTCGCGCATTTCGCCTGCCGAAATGCGCGGATCTGTTATGTGCGTGGATCTGCAGAACAAAAAAAAAAAAAAAAAAAAACTTAAACATTTTTTTTTTTTTTTTTTTTTTTTTTCATAAAATGGCTTAAAAATACAGTCGTATTATACGGCCCGTATAATACGATTACCGTGTTTTTGCACCTTGGCTGGGAGAGTCGACCATGGCGAGACGATGCTCCATTCGCCCTTACGGTTATTCATCCACGCCGCGGCCGCGCTGATCCCGCCTGGAGCTTAACTTGCAGGCACTCGCTCCAGCCCCCCTGCACAGTGCCCCCACTCCCCCCACACTCCCCCGTGCTCCCATGTCCTGGGCTGCCAGCCCGCCACTCTCCCCGTGTACCATGGCATACTTCTGGCGACGCTCGCTGTACGTGACGAATCGCACTCATGCTAGCCGGAGCACCTCTGCAGGAGCAAATCTCGCCATTGACCTCCCACTAATGTATTGACCTCCCACTATTGACCTCCCACTATTGACCTCCCACTATTGACCTCCCACTATTGACCTCCCACTATTGACCTCCCACTATTGACCTCCCACTATTAACCTCCCACTATTGACCTCCCACTATTGACCTCCCACTATTGACCTCCCACTGAATAACTCCCACTGTTGACCTCCCACTATTGACCTCCAACTATTGACCTCCCACTATTGACCTCCAACTATTGACCTCCCGCTATTGACCTCCCACTATTGACCTCCCACTATTGACCTCCCACTCTTGACCTCCCACTATTGACCTCCCAGTGAAGACCTCCCGCTAGTGACCTCCCACTATTGACCTCCAACTATTAACCTCCCACTATTGACCTCCCACTATTGACCTCCCACTATTGACCTCCCACTATTGACCTCTCACTATTGACCTCCCGCTATTGACCTCCCACTATTGACTTGACCTCCCACTTTTGACTTAACCTGCCACTATTGACCTCCCACTATTGACCTCCCATTATTGACCTCCCACTATTGACCCCCCACAATTGACCTCTAACTATTGTCCTCCCACTATTGACCTCCCACCATTGACCTCCCACCATTGACCTCCCACTATTGACCTCTCACTATTGACCTCCTACTATTGACTTGACCTCCCACTATTGACTTAACCTCCCACTATTGACCTCCCTCTATTGACCTCCCACTATTGACCTCCCACTATTGACCTCCCACTCTTGACCCCCCACTGTTGACCTCTCACTATTGACCTACCACTATTGACCTCCCACTATTGACCTCCCACTATTGACTTCCCACTATTGACCTCCCACTATTGACCTCCAACTATTGACCTCCCACTATTGACCTCCAACTATTGACCTCCCGCTATTGACCTCCCACTATTGACCTCCCACTATTGACCTCCCACTCTTGACCTCCCACTATTGACCTCCCAGTGAAGACCTCCCGCTAGTGACCTCCCACTATTGACCTCCAACTATTAACCTCCCACTATTGACCTCCCACTAGTGACCTCCCACTATTGACCTCCCACTATTGACCTCTCACTATTGACCTCCCGCTATTGACCTCCCACTATTGACTTGACCTCCCACTTTTGACTTAACCTCCCACTATTGACCTCCCACTATTGACCTCCCATTATTGACCTCCCACTATTGACCCCCCAAAATTGACCTCTAACTATTGTCCTCCCACTATTGACCTCCCACCATTGACCTCCCACCATTGACCTCCCACTATTGACCTCTCACTATTGACCTCCTACTATTGACTTGACCTCCCACTATTGACTTAACCTCCTACTATTGACCTCCCTCTATTGACCTCCCACTATTGACCTCCCACTCTTGACCCCCCACTGTTGACCTCTCACTATTGACCTACCACTATTGACCTCCCACTATTGACCTCCCACTATTGACTTCCCACTATTGACCTCCCACTATTGACCTCCCACAATTGACCTCCCACTATTGACCTCCCACTATTGACCTCTCACTATTGACCTCCCACCCACTATTGACCTCCCACTATTGACCTCCCACTATTGACTTGCGATAGCAATTTTCCCCCTTTTTGTAAAAATCGCAGCGATGCGATGCGATAATATCGCACAATAATTGCGATATCGCGTTTTGATCGCTTTTTTTTTGCGCGATAAATTGCGATATGCGACTTTTAAAAATCGCGGGCGATTTTCCCAAGTATCGCAACGCGAAATTGGCAGATTTGGGGGGGGGGGGGAGAAACGAAGCCCAAAAGGGCTGCGACCAATTCTCCTTGAGAGAACCCCCACCCCAACAAATTCCAAACTCATTTCCCACCTCCCCACTCCCGTTCCCAAGCTTCCATGCAAGCTCACCTTGCAAACCCTTGGAAGGAACTCCCTTAGCCACAAAGCCACGCCTCCACTCCCCCATTCCTAAGTAAGCATAGATAGGAGCAACAATTCATACTCCTAGTCTAGGTACCTCCCTAAACTACTTAGGCACAAATCCACACCTAGGGTGTCGTTCTCTTTTCGTCGCGCCGTTTTTGCTCGTACGCACCGCACCTTCCCCGACGTGCGGGGTTTTGGCGCCATCGCGTAGCATCGTCCGTGTGGCACGCGAGTGTGACGGCAACGGCTAGGGTTTATGGTTTATCATAGATTGCCCTTTATAGAGCTGTTTTCATCGCTAATCCGACCATCGGGCGTGCCTTGCCGTAGGGTTTTAGCCCAGAGGCTCCAAATCCACGCCCATAGTCCGGCACAACCTTCTTAGCTTAGCCCGTAGGGACTAGGGGGGTTTTTGCAAGTAGGATTTGGGGCGACGATGGGTCCGCGTGCCCGCGGTCCACGCGGTAGGGCGGGGCGGAGCGGCGGAGGGCCTAGTCGGGGCGCGGGGGTTGAGGGGAGGGGGCGCTATGGCAGCGCCACCGGGATGACGACCGTTGAGGCGCGAGCTCAGCGCAGGCAGCAGGACAAGGCCTTATTTGCAAAGCTCACCTCCGGCTCTGCACGCACTGGAGCGTATGGCGGAGGGGAGTTGGTGGTTGGCGGCGGTTGCCACGGAACTCAGGGCAGTGCCGCTGGAGGTGCGGGTGCTGTCCCGCAGGTGGAGGGGGTGGTCGTGAGGGTGGAGGAGGAAGACAGGCACGCCTGGCGGCTCCGAGCTGCGACGGGTGGGGAAGGGGGGGGGGGCGGCGGGGCGATGGGCATGCGGGGGTGGGAGGGCGACGCCGGGGAGGCGGGAGGGGGGGGGAGGAGGATGAGGGGGAGGACGATGATGCGGGGGAGGAGGAGGAGGAGGAGGAGGAGGAGGAGGAGGAGGAGGAGGAGGAGGAGGAGGAGGAGGAGGAGGAGGAGGAGGAGGAGGAGGAGGAGGAGGAGGAGGAGGAGGAGGGAGGAGGAGGAGGAGGAGGAGGAGGAGGAGGAGGAGGAGGAGGAGGATGAGGAGGAGGAGGAGGGGGAGGAGGAGGAGGGGGGTGAGGAGGATGAGGAGTACAACGGGGAGGGGGATGAGGAGGAGGGTGATGGGGAGGAGGTGGATGGGGATGATGATGAGGAGGAAGAGGGGAGGGGCGTTGGAGAGGCCTTTGGTGGAGGGATGGAGGGGTCCAAAGGGAAGCGCAAGATTGGAATGGCCTTCCACCTCTCCGGGGGTATGGTTGGGAAGAAGGTTAAGGCGTCAGGGAGGGGGGGGCAGACGAGACGGCGCGAGGGAGGGGGAGGGGGAGAGGGAGTGAGCATGGGAGAGGGAGAGGTGGAGGGATGGCAGGGGCGGGGTTGGGAGAGAGGGGGAGGTCCAGGATGTCACCGGGCCATCTACATGCGGATGGTCTTGGGGGGAAGGGTGGTGGTGGCGGAAAGAAGGGCGCTGCAAGGGGAGGCACGTGTGCGAGGAAGGGGGCGGGGCGGTGTGGGGGAGTTGGGGAGACAGCACAGGCCCATGGGTCTGCACCGGCTGGGGGGAGGGGGGGGGAGAAGGATCCACCACATATTGTGGGGCAGTGCTTTGACACGCAGCCCAATACGGAGTGGACGCGTTGCAGGAGGTGCAAAGCCCAGTTGAGCTTCACCAAGCGCAACACCCAGAACGGGAAGGTGCACATGCTGCCGCACCACCGCCCGACTTGGGACATCCTTGTCCACATGCGGCGGCCCGGGGAGATGAAGGTGGAGGATAAGATACCCCGAGGCGGGTTTGGGGTGGAGGGTGAGGTGCCCGACGGCGAGGGTGGGTGGGCCGGATCAGCCCCCTAGCCGATCTTGCCTGACGAGGGGGAGGTGACCGGGGGCCAGGTGGGCAAGAGGCGCATCAGGCGGTTCTTTCAGAAGCCCATGGACTTGGAGCGGTTCGAGCAGTTACTGGTCGAGTACATTGTCGACACCGACTCACCATTCAGCACCGTCGAGCGAGACACCGTACGTAATACTATCCCCCGCCCTCTACAATGCTTGCTCATTCTCGTGGCGTTGAGACTATGCAATGCTTTCATTTCACCGCGGGTCTAGGGCGTCTGTCTCGCACGTTCCAAATTCTTGACGTGCCTCCATAATTCTTGCTCCCACTTGCTACCCTTCCAGTTCCGCCGCATGATGGCCAAGGCTAACCCGCGGCTGGGGGAGCCGGGGGCCATTCCATCGCTGCAGAAGTTGGCCCGTATGATCATGCGGCAGGCGGCCAAGGCAACGGAGCTCGCCAAGGCGGAGCTGCGGGCGGACGCGGGCGTGGGGTCCATCTCGGTCACGATGGACATCTGGTCGGCGGAGAACTAGTTGGGGTTCATGGGGATTACCGCGCACTACATCGAAGCTGAATTCAAGCTGCGACAGGCGACGCTTGACTTCCGACCCCTGCCGGCCGAGCACACAGGAGAGACGGTGGCGAAGATCTTGGAGGAGGTGATTGAGGAGTGGGGGCTAGTGGACAGGTGCATGGCGCTGACCACTGACAACGTATCTGTCAATGGGGCGGCATTCAACCTTTTGAAGAAGGGTTGGCGGGCGGATGGCGAGGTGCGATTGGTTCCCAACTTTGGAGGCGGCGCGGACGTCCGGTAAGAAAACCACGCCTCACGCTCACCTTCTCTGTGCCCATTTTATGGTTTCATTGCGAGCACAAGGGTTTGTGTTTCCCAAGTAATGGCCAACTCACCTCTCTTCCCTATGCTGCACATTGCTGTCCAGTCAAGCTGAAGCAGGACAACCGAGTGTGATGGGGCTCGACGCACACAATGATCAAGAGGGCTCTTGATCTCAAGAACCCCATCGTCGCCTTTGTCAATCGTGAGGTGGGCCTTCACGTGGGTTGGCGTGGGTGTAGTCACGCCGCACATTGAGCGGTCTCTCATAACCTTGGAGATTACAGCATCAATCCGCCCTCCAATCCCCCCTTGCCCTGTACAGTGCTCACCCACCCATATGCTTTCTCACCCCTGAACTAACCAACTTAGTTATTATTGCACTACCCCCTCCGCTCAACCACGCAATAACCAGGGCTGCAACAGGAAGGAACAGGTGGAGATAGATGCGAAGTCTCTGACTGAAGCAGAGTGGTGCTATAGGAGTTGATGGCCTTCTTGGCGCCGTTCAACAGCGTGATGCTGGCAGCTGAGGGGTCGCTGTACCCCACGGTCAGCAGGGTGGTCCCACAATACAACGGAGTTCTGGACTGGTTGGAGAAGCAGCAGCAGAAGGCAGGGGCGGGGGCAGGGTCGATCATGGGGGTGTGCGTTGCCCAGGCATTGGGGAAGATGCTGAACTACTTCTACTCGAGCACCGATGACTTGAACGTGGCGACGTTCCTTGACCCTGCGCTGAAGCTCGCTTGGTTCGACAGGCTAGGTCAGGTCGCAGGGAGCATGCGTAAGGTGAAGGAGTTGCCGGCAAGTGCGGTCTTGACGCTGGTCCGCTCGCGCTGGGAGGTGTACAAGAAGGATGTTGATGCGGCCGCACGGTTGCAGGCGGCCATGGCGGAAGGGGTTGCGACTGGGGGTGGGGAGGAGGAGGAGGATCAGGGAGGGGAGGCGGATGAGGACCTGGGGGTGTTCGCACATCTTAGGACAGTGCGTGCCAGGCAGACGCAGCAGGCCAAGGATGAGATCGAACGGTACTTGGAGCTCCCCCTCCAGGAGTTGCACGAGTGCCCTTCGCACTTCTGGCGTTACCATACCGAGCTTCCAGCGCTGCGGCGGATGGCGATGGACTACCTTGCCATCCCAGCCACCTCCGCCCCTTGCGAGCGCCTGTTCTTACAGGGCCGCAACCTCATTCACTGGCAGCGGCACCGCCTTGGGAGGGAGCGCATCCGGGATTGCATGATGCTCAAGTCCTAGATTGCCTCTCACCCGGGGGAGCGCCTTGATGGCGGCGTGAACGACACGGCCATTGATCTCGGCCTGGCGGTGTTTTTGAGACTTGACATCTGTGTTCTTTATGTCCATTTGTTTAGCCTCTCCTACAGGCATCTCCCACCACTCCCTCCCTCCCCCCCCCACCTAAACCACTGAAAGAACGTCGGGCGACCATACCACAGTCGCTCGCACTAGTACGCTCCCCCCCCCTCCACTCTCCACCTCCCCACCCCCCCCCCCCCTTGGACGATAGTGGGGCTCTCTTTTTGCTGGAGCTCGCCAATATTTGTTCGCTGTCTATTTATAAGAACCGCCGTTGTAATTCTGTGTTGTGCCAGTTTTTGAAACCATTCCGCAGTTCCGACATAGTTCCCTATCCAAATTGCCACTGTACCCCCCTAATTCTCCTTGCAATGTGCCCCTGGCAATGCGATAAAATATCCCATCGCGCGATACATCGCACCATGAAATGCGATATAAAAATATATCGCGCCAAAACCGAGATATGCGATTTAAAATAAGAAAAAAAATAAAAATAAAAATCGTCGCGATGCGATATCGCATCGCCGTGATAATTAAGGCGATAAGTTAAAAAGCGATGCGATATCGCATCGCATCGCTTTTTAACCATGTTTACTATTGACCTCCCACTATTGACTAGACATGGGCACAAGCCGAGCCACATCCGGCTCGGCTCGGCTCGGCTCGCCAAAATGACTAGCTGAGCCTTTCTTTTCGGGATCTGGCTCGACTCGAGCCGAGCCGGCTCGAGTCGGCTCGTACACAATGTCCTCGTCGAGCCGGGGTCGAGCCGTCTCGTCCCCGGCTCGATTTCGAGCCAGGTGGCTCGCCACTCGATTTCAAGGGTAAATTTCCCCCTCGACAGAACGTGTCTCCCGTTTCTCTCTCCTGCCAACAACTCCTAGTCTATGTTCCCGAAATCGCTCTTGCGGTGCAGGGTTTATCGTTTAAACGCTGCGTTTAAAGGGTAAACGCTAAACGCTCGCCCAAAATGTTTGACGCGGAATTCTTTCCCGCGACATTGCAACCTCGCGAATTCAACCAGTCGCAACCCCAACCTTTGACGACCAAAAACACATCCAACCCTTTTGCCCCGCTCAACCGCACTGCACACTACTGCATCTACAACTTCCAACCTAACCTCTTGCACCCTCCTTCCTCCTCACAATCCACTTCCCGTCAATTTCGCAAACCCTAGAATTCTGCGCGCCTAGGAGTATCTCATTAGGTTAGTTCGCGCGAGAAATCTTAAGCAGCCCGCGCCACTCTTCTTAACAACGCGCGCTTGCATAGGCTCCACCCACACTACTATTGGCTAAAGCGCATGCTAGGCGAGTCGAGCCGAGCCAGCTCGCCGTCGAGCCAGCCTTGGCTCGCCCACAGAAATGCGAGCCGAGCCAGGCATGTTTGGTGCCCGGCTCGACTTGAGCCGAGCCAGGCTCGACGGCGAGCCAGCTCGGCTCGACCCCTGGACGAGCCGAGCCGAGCCAGGCTCGGCTCATGCCCATGTCTACTAGTGACCTCCCACTATTGACTTCCCACTGAAGACCTCCCACTGAAGACCTCCCACTATTGACCTCCCACTATTGACCTCCCACTATTGACCTCCCACTATTGACCTCCCACTATTGACTTCCCACTATTGACCTCCCACTATTGACCTCTCAGTATTGACCTCCCACTATTGATCTCCCACTATTAACCTCCCACTATTGACCTCCCACTATTGACCTCCCACTATTGATTTCCCACAATTGATGTCACAGGATCGAATATGTCGAGGAAAGGTTGCACTATCGATTAATACAAGGAGCTTTTATACTTCCAAAGTACATCAGGTAACCAGGTTTATCCTATCTCAAGGGAATAGACCCTTCTAGAAAATAGAATCACCATGCGTATAGCCACGCGAGGCTATTGGCTTTAACGGATTACGGCAGGATTACACTAGATATAGCGTACCAGTACATCCCGAGCCTGGTCGGTGATATAATGATAATAACAAAATAAACCAAAGGTTTAATGGAAAAGAAGGAATAGGAATCCAAATGGAATGAGATAAAGACCAAATGAATCAGGATAGAAAGAGGAATGAAATGGAAAGAGAAGATGGAAATGAGAAAGGAATGGAACGGGGTCGTACTCTCACACTTCCCCCCCTCAAAGCTGGGTGGTAGACGTAACACCCTGCTTGACAAGGTACCCGCAAAGAGGACGACGAGCGTGATCCATCTCGGATTCAGAGACCCAGCTATCCTCTGAAGGATCATAACCCTTCCAACGGATGAGAAGCTCCACGTTGCCAGTCTTTCGACGGCGGTGTGCGAGCACGGACTCGACCTCGTACTCGGGTTCATCGTGGACGAGGACGGGCGGCGGCGGCGGCGGTTGGCGTTCAGAGAAGACCGTGTTGGGATCTCGGTAGGACTTCAAGAGTTGGACATAGACATGGGCACAAGCCGAGCCACACCTGGCTCGGCTCGGCTCGGCTCGACTCGAGCCGGCTGCTCGGCTCGGCTCGCGCAGGTGACACCAGGCGAGCCGGAGTCGAGCCGGCTCGAAATGGCTCGAATTCGAGCCAGCTGGCTCGCGGTTCGGGTAAGGGGGGGTTTCGCGACAGTCAAAATTCAAATCGATAAACTCCCCCCCAAGCCCATTTCGTCAACCAACCCTAATCTTACCATAACGCCCTAGCCTATCGCCCTAGTCTTTCGCCCTCAGCCAGAACCAAACTTGCAGCATCTTGTTTTATTTTTTAAAGATGTAAGAACTACTATTTATAATTAGGGCCACCGAGGCCTTGGCGCGACAGCCCTAGGCGCGCCACCGAGGCCTTGGCTCGTGGTATGCGCACGCTACGGTTTAGGCTTGGGCGTGCGTCCGTTTAGGCCTAGTCCCACGATGCTGAGGGTTGTAGCCTTGTAGGGTGCTTGGTAACGCTTGATTAAGTTAAGCGCGCGCATTTGGGGGTGCGCGATCTTGCATTGCACATGGCAAAGACCAAGGCAACGGCGGCTAAGCAAGGGGGGCCGGGGAGGGATCGTGTAGCGGGCACAGATGAGGCGGTGGGAGACCAGGGGGGTGTGAGTTCGAGGGCGAATGAGACCAATGGAGGTGGAGCCATGCCCCACATGCCTGAGGAGTGGACAGATTTCCTCCTCTCTCGGCAGGGGATGGGACGAGGGGGAGGGGGGGGGAGAGCCCAGGGGGAGGGGAGGAGGGTCAAGCGCGCACAAGCTCGCCGCAGCCGGGAGAGCGGTGGCGATCAGAGGGATGGGAGCGAGTCGGAGGAGCGGGAGAGCGGAAAATCTAGCGGCAGCGAGTATGAGGAGGAGGAAGAGGAGGAGGAGGATGATGAGCACGAGATGGAGGGTTTGGTGATGGAGGACGAGGAGGAGGAGGAGGAGGAGGAGGAGGAGGGGGAGGGGGAGGGTCGGTCCAAGAAGGGAACGGGTGGGAGTAGGGGGGGGAGAGCGCCAGGGGGAAGAGGCAGCGTCAGGAAGGGAGTGGGGTCGGGCGACGGCCAGGGACAGGCGCAAAGGGGGGGAGGAGGGGCGGGGAGGAGGGGGAGGAGCTCGCTGCTCCGTCCGTCGGGTTTCAAGGCAGGGGAGGGCGTGCGGATGGGGCTGAGGAGGTGGACCCAAGCGTTGAGCAGGAGGGGAGAAGGAAAAGACAGAAAAAGAACCGTAAGGTTGGAGCAAAGAGGAGCAACAAGCGTGTGGCAGAGTGTTTCTTGGGGAGCGAGAGAAAGCGAGTGTGCAAGATGTGCGAGAAGCCGATGGGCTTCAAGGACAGCCAGACCAGCACGGGTGCCAAGCATATGGCGAGACACCATCACCCACACTGGGACATATGGCAGCGACGCGTGGTCGAGGGTCTTGAGCCAGGAGAGTCGTTTCCGATGGGGGGATACCCACATGTCCCTGATGGGAAGGTGCCCAACGAGTGGTCCAAGACTTGGCCGCACCCCCCCCCCGGCGCCACCATCCCGTCCCTATCCCCGGCAACGGCGGACACGAGGCAGCCCACGATGGACCGGTTCCTTGGCCCACGTGTGTCGGAGCCGCGTTTGCGTCAGGCGATTGTCGAGTTCATCGCCAGCACCGACAGCTCCTTTCGCATCGTAGAGGACCCCGCAGTAAGCGAGCCACCCCACCAGCCCCCCCCTTCACACCCTTCCCTAAGCCTGTGGTCATTGTGTTACCCAACTCCCCCCCCCCCCTTATAACCTACTGGATCTGCCCCACCAAAAGAACCACCCGCCCCACCACCACCTCCTCCCCCCCCCCCGCATGGCGCTAAACACCCCCAAACCCCACACCCCCCCTCTCGTTTCCTTTTGGCAGTTTCGCCGCCTCTTGGCTATATGCAACCCTCAATGCGGCGACGCAATCCCCATACCCGACCGGACCACCGTTTCCAGGGACCTCCGTTTCTACTCTGAGGCGGCACGGGCAGTGGTTAAGTCGGAGTTTGGGGCGGGTTCAGGGAGCGGGCGTGTCTCTTTCACAACGGACATATGGACCGGGGGTAACAGGCGGGGGTACATGACAGTGACGGCGCACTTCATTAGCAGGGATTTTCAGCTGCGCCAGTGTACACTGGAGTTTATGGAGCTGGAAACGCGCCACACAGGGCGGCTAATTGCAGACGTCTTCGCGCGAGTCATTAGGGAGTGGGAGCTCGTGGGGTTTTGCATGGGGGTGACGACGGATAACGCCAGCAGCAACACAGCCGCCATGCGTCGCCTCGCCGGTCTTGGTTGTCATGCGTTGGCCACGCCTCTCCTCGCAGATGGCATGCACTTCCGGTGAGTGCGTGGCGAGCTTGCAGCCCTTGTCTTGTCCACATAGTGTGCTGCTGTTCAGACGATCCACACCTCCCCTCTCAATGGCATGGAGGGTCTTTAAGGATATCCCTCCCCCCTCTCCCCCCCCCCCTTGTGCGCCTTCGTACATACATGCAGCTGCCTGGCGCACATCCTGAACCTTGCAGTCCAGCGTGCGCTGAAGCTGCCAGCGGTGAGGGTGCCGCTGAAGCTCCTACGCGACATTGCCACCTTTGTTGGATGGAGTGAGAGGCGCACGCGAGAATTTGAGGCGCAGCAGCGGTCCGATCCCGTCCTCAAAGGGACGGTCCTCCGCCTGGTGCACGACAGCGAGGTTCGCTGGGGCAGCACGCACGAGATGGTCGCGCGTGCATTGAGGCTCCGCCGATCCCTCACTGCGCACTTCGCAGTGGAGCAGGTACCCTCTTTACAAAAGCCCACTCCACCGCTTCCATTGCGTGCGCGGATGCTCCTACGCGCCCCCTTGTGTGACACTTCCTTCCATGCCGCCACACCCATTGTATCCCCACAACCCCCCCCCCATGCACCCCTGCTCACTTCCCAGGGAGAGACGGCCGAAGAGCGCGCGAAGTACGTCGCGTTGCGCCTGACCGACGCGCTGGACACGCTAGATGTCCTAGCGGAGTTCCTGGCACCGTTCAGTTCCATCACGGTGGCGGCCGAGGGCTCTTCCTACCCCACATCATCTGCTGTTGTGCCACAGTTCAACGAACTGATGGACACCTTGCAGGCATGGCCGTCGCCCCGCCTCATCGGCCGTCAGCTCGTTGGCGTCGCCTTCCCCGTGCTGGAACGGTACTATTGCAGCAGCAGCGATGAGCTCGTGGTGGCGACGTTTCTGAACCCCGGCATGAGGCTGGTGTTCTTCGAGGTGGATGGAGGGACGGACACCCGCTCTGGGGGAGAGGGAGAGGGGGCAAACGGGGTGGGCGTGGAAAGCGGACTAGCCGGGTCTTCACGTGCGCTAGTTGTGCGTGCCGCTGGTGCGGGGGGGGGGGAGGAGGAGATGGGTTCAGAGAAGGGCGCAGAGGGGGAGGACGAGGAGGACGAGGAGGACGAGGAGGACGAGGAGGACGAGGAGGATGAGGAGGGGGGAGAGGGGGAGGAGGGGGAGGAGGAGCAGCAGGGCAGGCCTGTGGCGAGCTTCAAGCCGTCAGAGGTGCTGACCCTTGTACGGGCACGCTTTGCTGAGTACAGTAAGCGGCTGAAGCAAGCGGCACAGCAACAGGACGGGGGCAGAGGGGGGGTGGGCTTGGGGGGGGGGGGAGGTTGAGGGTGGAGATGCTAGTGGTGTACCAGTGCGGGGTGGCTTGAGCCAGTCTCTCCACGCCAAGCTGCTAGCGCGCTCCGCACGACGGGGGGCCACGGTGCGGGATGAGGTGGATCGTTACATCGAGGGGGAGTTGCATGAGGGTTGCCCCTTGGCGTACTGGCACGAGAGGTCTGATATGCCGGTGTTGCAGGCTATGGCCAGGGATTACCTGGCCATACCAGCAACATCGGCAGCTAGTGAGCGTGTGTTCAGTTAGAGCCGAAATGTGATCACCCGCCATAGGCAGAGGTTGTCTGGGGAGAGCGTGCGAGCCACTATGACACTCAAGTCATGGACTCGCACGCACCCTGGTGTCTCCCTGTTAAAGCCAGGGTGGATCAAAGAGACGGAGAAGCTTGGGGTGGAGGAGCTGTAGGCTGCGTGCTAAACCATGTGGTTGGGTGGTTGCTAGCTTGCGTCTGGTTGCGCTGAGAACATGCTGTTGGCAAAGGGGCACTCTTTTAACTTCCATGGTACTACTTTAAATTATTGTGAGCCCCAAACAGAGCAGCAGTAGTTCACAATCACAATCTGGCACATCCCTGGACTAGAGACCCCAAAAACAGTGGGCCTTCTTGAGAGGTTACACAAGCCCCCCTGACGAGCCGAGCCGGGAATCCTGAGGTCCCGGCTCGAGGCGAGCCAAGCCGGCTCGATCGGCGAGCCGGCTCGGCTTGACCCCAAACGAGCCGAGCCGAGCCAGGCTCGGCTCATGCCCATGTCTAGTTGGACATGGAAGGCGTTGTGAAGCTTCCAGGTAGCTGGTAGGCGTAAGCGGAAGGTTACAGGAGTGACCTGTGCTTCAACGAGAAAAGGCCCGCAGAAGCGAGGTCGCAGTTTGGATGGGAGATGGCTGATGTCAAGATTGCGCGTGTCGAGTAGTACTCGGTCTCCCACGGTGATGGTGTGGTCTGTGCGGTGGCGATCGGCTTGGCGCTTTTGTTGTTGCTGAATGTCGAGAAGGCGCTTGTGGGTTCGATCCCAAAGTTTGTGCATGGTCGTGATGAAATCATGAGCAGGTTGGACTGTGGCTGGTATGTTTGGCTGTTGAGGTGTGAGTGGGTGGCGTCCGTAACAGAGGAAGAACGGCGTCTGTCAAGTAGCGGCATGAGTAGCATTGTTGTAGGCAAACTCCAGGACGGGCAGATGCAAGTCCCACTTGGAGATGTCGTCCTTGCAGGCTGCGCGGAGGAGTTGCTCCACAATTTGGTTGAGGCGCTCGGTCTGTCCGTCTGTCTGCGGATGGTATGCGGATGACATGACGAGTTTGGTTCCGATTAGAGACATCAGTTCTTTCCAGAAGGTACTGGTGAACTTAGGGTCTCGGTCGGAGATGAGTGTGGTTGGAATGCCATGTTGTGAGATGATGTAGCGAACAAAGAGTTGTGCTGTCTCCTCGGTGCGTGCTGTGGTGTGTGTCGGGATGAAGTGTCCCATTTTGGAGAACTTGTCAATGACGACGAGGATCGAGTCATGACCGCTTGTGGTAGTTAGGAGCCCGGTGATGAAGTCTAGGCTTACCACTTGCCATGGCTGTTCTGAAACAGGAAGAGGCTGTAGCACGCCTGCTTTTTTTTGCTTGCTGCTCTTCATCCGCTGACATGTAGTGCACGAGGTGACGTATTTCTGTACGTCATCTGCCATGTGGGGCCAGTAGTAGTGTTTGGCGATACCGGTGAGCGTGTTGTTGCTACCGAAGTGTCCCGCGTACAGGACGTTGTGGTATTCTTCGAGTAGTAACTGGCGCAATGGAGGGTAATTAGGTACCCAGATCTTCGTTGATCCTTTCCGGTACGCGATGTCGTTGTCCCACTGTAGCAGATGTCGCTTTTCTGCTAAGGAATTTGAGGGTCGATGGTGTACCCGTGTGTGAAGAGTCCCTTGAGGAGTGGATTCATCCCTTCAACTTGGAAAGCGGCAACGTGTGCAGGCCGGCTAAGCGCATCTGCTTTGTTTTTGTGGTCGGGCTTGTACACGATGTCGTAGTGGAAGTGTGTCTCGAGGAAGTCAATCCACCGAACCTGTCGCTTGGACAGGCTTGGTTGCGTCTTCAAATATTTTAGGTTGCAATGGTCGGTGATAACATTGCTGCCTAAAATATTTGCGGCCCTTGCTATCATCATCGCCTGTTGTTTTGCGTCCTTCGAGATAACATCTTCACGTTTTGAAGGCGATGATGATAGCAAGGGCCTTCTTGTCGTGTATCAGGTAGTTGAATTCAACTCCGTGTAGTTTCTTGCTGAGGTAGGCGATTGGTTGCAGTCCATTCCCCTGGTCTTGCATCAAGACTGCTCCCAGTGCCTGGTCACTGGCGTCAGCTTCGATGACGTAGTTGCGTTCGGGGTCTGGCAAGATGAGTACGAGTGCGGACGTGAGTGCTTGTTTCAGCTGTTCCACGGCTTCTTGATGTCTTGGTTCCCAGTTATAGGGCGTGTTCTTCTTCAGCAGATTCGTGAGTGGCGCGGCGATCCTCGCCTGGCCCCGTGCTCATGCCTATTAATTGTGCAGCTCTCTAACAAGCCCTGCCGCACGTTGCCTCGTCGACGCGCGGAACGCCTCGGCTCGTTGCGAGTGGGCACGACAAGCCAAGGCTAAAAAACAAGCTCATAAAAGGGCAAGCTGAGCCAGGTCGAGCCAGCTCAGAGCAATAGACATGTCTAATACTGAACAACGCCCTTCCCTGCCAAATCCCGTCTCCTTGCAGCCATGATCCTCCTCTGCGTCAGCAGCCCAGCACGCTCCCCAAGCAGTGTTCTAGCTGCTCAATCCCTCGGCAAGCCATAAATGAGCTACAGTGTTTGCAGGCAACCTTTGAAAATTCTGAACGGCACACACCTCCAGCACGGCACGCACCTCCAACACGGCACGCACCTCCAGACGGCACGCACCTCCAGCACGGCACGCACCTCCAGCACGGCATGCACCTCCAGCACGGCACACACCTCCAGCATGGATCGCACCTCCAGCATGGCACGCACCTCCAGCAGCTGCTCGAGCTCCTCGATGTCCTCGTTGTTGTCGGAGTGCGCGCTGCTGTACGCACTCGCCCGACTCATCAGCGCCGCCGTCCCCGCGCCCCCCATGCCCATGCCCATGCCCCATCGCCCTCCAATGGACATTCGCGATCCGAGAGTGGGGGAAGGGGCGGGAGGCGGAGAGGAGAGGGGCAGGTGAAGGGCGGCGGGGGCGGGGAGGGAGAAGGCAAAGTAGTGGGCGTCGTGCAACGAGGTGGCGGTGGGGGAGTGCGGCGCGGCCGCCATGCGCGTGAGGAACATCTCGGCCATGTCGTCGTCATCGTCCAGCAGCTGCTCCAGCTCCTCACGCACCTGCCGTGCCACGGGGGGAGTGGGGGGGGGGGAGGGGAGTGGGGAGAAGCGAAATGGGTGAACATGGTGGAAATGGCACGAGCGCTCATGCTCACTTGTGACTATCCTGGTGCTAATCTTGAAGCAACACTTTGATTAAATCGATGCACTCTTGAATCCTAAGAACGAAAAAATGAGAATGAGATGGAAAAACAAACCTTTTGCACACGAGCGATAAGCCGACTCATTCTGTTCTTCATGCTTCGCACTCGGTCCAGATTGAGACTGCTCACCTGCCATCAACAGTCACGTCACATGCCACCACCACCACCACCACCACCACATACCATCGCAGCGCAGCCATGCGCCCAAACACACATTGACATGCAGTGGTTGCAAGGTTGGGTACACTGTGAAATCAATAGAGGCCTCTCACGACTTTCCAATGCGCCTCACTTCTTACCAGTGCACCTATCACATCTTGGCAGTGCACCCATCACATCTAGGCAGTAGTGCACCTATCACATCTTGGCAGTGACGCACTTCACCACTGTGCCTATCACATTTTGGCAGTGTGCATATCGTATCTCGGCTGCAAGTCTGTGAAGCGCGCTCCTGTGCATGCAATAATGGCTTTGCAGGAGCACCAAGTTCCAAGACGGACCTATTGGAGGAGGGCTACAGGATTGGGCTTGGGGGGTTGCTTGCTGGCATGCTGACCCACATCAAGAGCATACAGTGGTTAGCAGTCGTGCTTTCTAACAGCATGATTCGGTTCCTAATACGTTGCCAGATGGAGGTGAGGGGCAAGGAGGCGGCGGAAGGAGGTGAGGGACAAGCACTGACTCGGTTTTGAAGCAACGCGGCACTGACACGGTTTTGAGTCGAGGTGGCACTAACTCGGTTTCAAGGCGAGGCGGCACTGACTCGGTTTTGAGGCGAGGCAGCACTGACTCGGTTTTGAGGCGAGGCGGCACTGACTCCGTTTTGAGGCAAGGCGGCACCGACTCAGTTTTGAGGCGAGGCGGCACTGACTCGGTTTTGAGGCGAGGCGGCACTAACTCCGTTTTGAGGCGAGGCGGCACTGACTCAGTTTTCACGCGAGGCGGCATTGACTCAGTTTTGAGGCGAGGCGGCACTGACGCAGATTTGCGGAGAACCGACACTGACTCGGTTTTGAGGCGAGGTGGAATTGACCCGGTTTTGAGGCGAGGCGGCACTGACCCGGATTTGAGGCGAGGCGGCACTAACTCCATTTTGAGGAGAGGCGGCACTGACTCGGTTTTGAGGCGAGGCGGCACTGACTCCATTTTGAGGCGAGGCGATACTGACTCGGTTTTGAAGCGAGGCGGCACTGACTCGGTTTTGAAGCAAGGCGGCACTGACTCGGTTTTGAGGCGAGGCGGCACTGACTCGGTTTTGAGGAGAGGCGGCACTGACTCGGTTCTTAGGCGAGGCGGCACTGACTCCGTTTTGAGGAAAGGCGCCACTGACTCCGTTTTGAGGCGAGGCGACACTGACTCCATTTTGAAGCGAGGCGGCACTGACTCCATTTTGAGGCTAGGCGGCACTGACTCCGTTTTGAGGCGAGGCGGCACTGACTCGGTTTTCAAGCGAGGCGGCACTGACTCGGTTTTGAGGAGAGGCGGCACTGACTCGGTTATGAAGCGAGGCGGCACTGACTCAGTTTTGAGGAGAGGCGGCACTGACTCGGTTTTGAGGCGAGGCGGCACTGACTCCGTTTTGAGGAAAGGCGGCACTGACTCCGTTTTGAGGCGAGGCAGCACTGACTCGATTTTGAGGCTAGGCGGCACTGACTCCGTTTTGAGGCGAGGCGGCACTGACGCGGTTTTCAGGAGAGGCGGCACTGACTCGGTTTTGAGGCGAGGCGGCACAAACTCGGTTTTGAGGCGAGGCGGCACTGACTCGGTTTTGCAGCGAGGCGGCACTGACTCGATTTGATGCGAGGCAACACTGACTCGGTTTTCAAGCGAGGCGGCACTGACTCCGTTTTGAGGCGAGGCAACACTGACTCGGTTTTGAAGCGAGGCGGCACTGACTCCGTTCTGAGGCGAGGCGGCACTGACTCGGTTTTGAGGCAAGGCGGCACTGACATGGTTTTGAGGCGAGGCGGCACTGACTCGGTTTTGAGGCGAGGCGGCACTTACTCGGTTTTGAGGCGAGGCGGCACTGACTCGGTTTTGCAGCGAGGCGGCACTGACTCGATGTGAGGCGAGGCGGCACTGACTCGGTTTTGAGGAGAGGCGGCACTGACTCGGTTATGAAGCGAGGCGGCACTGACTCAGTTTTGAGGATAGGCGGCACTGACTCGGTTTTGAGGCAAGGCGGCACTGACTCCGTTTTGAGGAAAGGCGGCACTGACTCCGTTTTGAGGCGAGGCAGCACTGACTCGATTTTGAGGCTAGGCGGCACTGACTCCGTTTTGAGGTGAGGCGGCACGGACTCGGTTTTCAAGCGAGGCGGCACTGACTCCGTTTTGAGGCGAGGCAACACTGACTCGGTTTTGAGGCGAGGCGGCACTGACTCCGTTCTGAGGCGAGGCCGCACTGACTCGGTTTTGAGGCGAGGCGGCACTGACTCCGTTTTGAGGCGAGGAAACACTGACTCGGTTTTGAGGCGAGGCGGCACTGACTCCGTTCTGAGGCGAGGCGGCACTGACTCGGTTCTGAGGCGAGGCGGCACTGACTCCGTTTTGAGGCGAGGCGGCACTCACTCCGTTTTGAGGCGAGGCGGCACTGACTCCATTTTGAGGCTAGGCGGCACTCACTCCGTTTTGAGGCGAGGCGGCACTGACGCGGTTTTGAGGCGAGGCGCCACTGACTCGGTTTTGCAGCGAGGCGGCACTGACTCCGTTCTGAGGCGAGGCGGCACTGACTCAGTTTTGAGGCAAGGCGGCACTGACTCGGTTTTGAGGCGAGGCGGAACTAACTCCGTTTTGAGGCGAGGCGGCACTCACTCCGTTTTGAGGCGAGGCGGCACTGACTCCATTTTGAGGCTAGGCGGCACTCACTCCGTTTTGAGGCGAGGCGGCACTGACGCGGTTTTCAGGAGAGGCGGCACTGACTCGGTTTTGAGGCGAGGCGGCACTAACTCGGTTTTGAGGCGAGGCGGCACTGACTCGGTTTTGCAGCGAGGCGGCACTGACTCAATTTGAGGCGAGGTGGCACTGACTCGGTTTTGAGGAGAGGCGGCACTGACTCGGTTCCGAGGCGAGGCGGCACTGACTCGGTTATGAAGCGAGGCGGCACTGACTCAGTTTTGACGAGAGGCGGCACTGACTCGGTTCTGAGGCGAGGCGGCACTGACTCCGTTTTGAGGAAAGGCGGCACTGACTCCGTATTGAGGCGAGGCGGCACTGACTCCATTTTGAGGCGAGGCAGCACTGACTCGATTTTGAGGCTAGGCGGCACTGACTCCGTTCTGAGGCGAGGCGGCACTGACTCGGTTTTGAGGCAAGGCGGCACTGACATGGTTTTGAGGCGAGGCGGCACTGACTCGGTTTTGAGGCGAGGCGGCACTAACTCGGTTTTGAGGCGAGGCGGCACTGACTCGGTTTTGCAGCGAGGCGGCACTGACTCGATGTGAGGCAAGGCGGCACTGACTCGGTTTTGAGGAGAGGCGGCACTGACTCGGTTCCGAGGCGAGGCGGCACTGACTCGGTTATGAAGCGAGGCGGCACTGACTCAGTTTTGAGGAGAGGCGGCACTGACTCGGTTTTGAGGCGAGGCGGCACTGACTCCATTTTGAGGCGAGGCGATACTGACTCGGTTTTGAAGCGAGGCGGCACTGACTCGGTTTTGAAGCAAGGCGGCATTGACTCGGTTTTGAGGCGAGGCGGCACTGACTCGGTTTTGAGGAGAGGCGGCACTGACTCGGTTCTTAGGCGAGGCGGCACTGACTCCGTTTTGAGGAAAGGCGCCACTGACTCCGTTTTGAGGCGAGGCGACACTGACTCCATTTTGAGGCGAGGCGGCACTGACTCCATTTTGAGGCTAGGCGGCACTGACTCCGTTTTGAGGCGAGGCGGCACTGACGCGGTTTTCAGGAGAGGCGGCACTGACTCGGTTTTGAGGCGAGGCGGCACAAACTCGGTTTTGAGGCGAGGCGGCACTGACTCGGTTTTGCAGCGAGGCGGCACTGACTCGATTTGATGCGAGGTGGCACTGACTCGGTTTTGAGGAGAGGCGGCACTGACTCGGTTCCGAGGCGAGGCGGCACTGACTCGGTTATGAAGCGAGGCGGCACTGACTCGATTTGATGCGAGGTGGCACTGACTCGGTTCTGAGGCGAGGCGGCACTAACTCGGTTTTGAGGCAAGGCGGCACTGACATGGTTTTGAGGCGAGGCGGCACTGACTCGGTTTTGAGGCGAGGCGGCACTAACTCGGTTTTGAGGCGAGGCGGCACTGACTCGGTTTTGCAGCGAGGCGGCACTGACTCGATGTGAGGCGAGGCAGCACTGACTCGGTTTTGAGGAGAGGCGGCACTGACTCGGTTATGAAGCGAGGCGGCACTGACTCGGTTTTGAGGAAAGGCGGCACTGACTCCGTTTTGAGGCGAGGCAGCACTGACTCGATTTTGAGGCTAGGCGGCACTGACTCCGTTTTGAGGTGAGGCGGCACGGACTCGGTTTTCAAGCGAGGCGGCACTGACTCCGTTTTGAGGCGAGGCAACACTGACTCGGTTTTGAGGCGAGGCGGCACTGACTCCGTTCTGAGGCGAGGCCGCACTGACTCGGTTTTGAGGCAAGGCGGCACTGACTCCGTTTTGAGGCGAGGAAACCATGACTCGGTTTTGAGGCGAGGCGGCACTGACTCCGTTCTGAGGCGAGGCGGCACTGACTCGGTTTTGAGGCAAGGCGGCACTGACATGGTTTTGAGGCGAGGCGGCACTGACTCCGTTTTGAGGCGAGGCGGCACTCACTCCGTTTTGAGGCGAGGCGGCACTTACTCGATATTGAGGTGAGGCGGCACTGACTCTGTTTTGAGGCGAGGCGGCACTGACTCCATTTTGAGACGAGGCAGCACTGACTGACTCCGTTTTGAGGCGAGGCGGCACTGACTCCGTTTTGAGGCGAGGCGGCACTGACTCCATTTTGAGGCAAGGCGACACTGACTCGGTTTTGAGGCGAGGCGGCACTGACACGGTTCTCAGGAGAGGCGGCACTGACTCGGTTTTGAGGCGAGGCGGCACTTACTCGGTTTTGAGGCGAGGCGGCACTGACTCGGTTTTGAAGCGAGGCGGCACTGACTCGGTTTTGAGGCGAGGCGGCACTGACTCGGTTTTGAGGAGAGGCGGCACTGACTCGATTCTGAGGCGAGGCGGCACTGACGCCGTTTTGAGGAAAGGCGGCACTGACTCCGTTTTGAGGCAAGGCAGCACTGACTCCATTTTGAGGCGAGGCGGTACTGACTCCATTTTGAGGCTAGGCGGCACTGACTCCGTTTTGAGGCGAGGCGGCACTGACTCGCTTTTGAGGAGAGGCGGCACTGACTCGGTTCCGAGGCGAGGCGGCACTGACTCGGTTATGAAGCGAGGCGGCACTGACTCAGTTTTGAGGAGAGGCGGCACTGACTCGGTTCTGAGGCGAGGCGGCACTGACTCCGTTTTGAGGAAAGGCGGCACTGACTCCGTTTTGAAGCGAGGCGGCACTGTCTTCATTTTGAGGCGAGGCGGCACTGACTCCATTTTGAGGCTAGGCGGCACTGACTCCGTTTTGAGGCGAGGCGGCACTGACTCGGTTTTGAGGCGAGGCGGCACTGACTCGGTTTTGAGGCGAGGCAACACTGACTCGGTTTTGAGGCGAGGCGGCACTGACTTCGTTGTGAGGCGAGGCGGCACTGACTCTGTTTTGAGGCGAGGCGGCACAGACTCCGTTTTGAGGCGAGGCAACACTGACTCGGTTTTGAGGCGAGGCGGCACTGACTCGGTTTTGAGGCAAGGCGGCACTGACTCGGTTTTGAGGCGAGGCGGCACTGACTCCGTTTTGAGGCGAGGCGGCACTCACTCCGTTTTGAGGCGAGGCGGCACTTACTCGGTATTGAGGTGAGGCGGCACTGACTCTGTTTTGAGGCAAGGCGCCACTGACTCTGTTTTGAGACGAGGCAGCACTGACTCCGTTTTGAGGCGAGGCGGCATTGACTCCGTTTTGAGGCGAGGCGGCACTGACTCCATTTTGAGGCGAGGCGGCACTGACTCTGTTCTTAGGCGAGGCCGCACTGACTCGGTTTTGAGGCGAGGCGGCACTGACTCCGTTTTGAGGCGAGGAAACACTGACTCGGTTTTGAGGCGAGGCGGCACTGACTCCGTTCTGAGGCGAGGCGGCACTGACTCGGTTTTGAGGCAAGGCGGCACTGACTCGGTTTTGAGGCGAGGCGGCACTGACTCAGTTTTGAGGCGAGGCGGCACTCACTCCGTTTTGAGGCGAGGCGGCACTTACTCGGTATTGAGGTGAGGCGGCACTGACTCTGTTTTGAGGCGAGGCGCCACTGACTCCGTTTTGAGACGAGGCAGCACTGACTCCGTTTTGAGGCGAGGCGGCACTGACTCCATTTTGAGGCGAGGCGACACTGACTCGGTTTTGAGGCGAGGCGGCACTGACGCGGTTTTCAAGAGAGGCGGCACTGACTCCGTTTTGAGGCGAGGCGGCACTGACGCCGTTTTGAGGGAAGGCGGCACTGACTCCGTTTTGAGGCGAGGCGGCACTGACTCCATTTTGAGGCGAGGCGGCACTGACTCCATTTTCAGGCTAGGCGGCACTGACTCCGTTTTGAGGCGAGGCGGCACTGACTCGGTTTTGAGGAGAGGCGGCACTGACTCGGTTATGAAGCGAGGCGCCACTGACTCAGTTTTGAGGAGAGGCGGCACTGACTCGGTTTTGAGGAGAGGCGGCACTGACTCCGTTTTGAGGAAAGGCGGCACTGACTCCGTATTGAGGCGAGGCGGCACTGACTCCATTTTGAGGCGAGGCGGCACTGACTCGATTTTGAGGCTAGGCGGCAGTGACTCTGTTTTGAGGCGAGGTGGCACTGACTCGGTTTTCAAGCGAGGCGGCACTGACTCCATTTTGAGGCGAGGCGGAACTGACTCGGTTTTGAGGCGAGGCGGCACTGACGCGGTTTTCAGGAGAGGCGGCACTGACTCCGTTCTGAGGCGAGGCGGCACTGACTCGGTTTTGAGGCAAGGCGGCACTGACATGGTTTTGAGGCGAGGCGGCACTGACTCCGTTTTGAGGCGAGGCGGCACTCACTCCGTTTTGAGGCGAGGCGGCACTTACGCGGTATTGAGGTGAGGCGGCACTGACTCTGTTTTGAGGCAAGGCGGCACTGACATGGTTTTGAGGCGAGGCAGCACTGACTCTGTTTTGAGGCGAGGCGGCACTGACTCCGTTTTGAGGCCAGGCGGCCCTGACTCCATTTTGAGGCGAGGCGACACTGACTCGGTTTTGAGGCGAGGCGGCACTGACGCGGTTTTCAGGAGAGGCGGCACTGACTCGGTTTTGAGGCGAGGCGGCACTTACTCGGTTTTGAGGCGAGGCGGCACTGACTCGGTTTTGAAGCGAGGCGGCACTGACTCAGTTTTGAGGCGAGGCAGCACTGACTCTGTTTTGAGGAGAGGCGGCACTGACTCGGTTCTGAGGCGAGGCGGCACTGACGCCGTTTTGAGGAAAGGCGGCACTGACTCCGTTTTGAGGCGAGGCGGCACTGACTCCATTTTGAGGCGAGGCCGCACTAACTCCATTTTGAGGCTAGGCGGCACTGACTCCGTTTTGAGGCGAGGCGGCACTGACTCGGTTATCAGGCGAGGCGGCACTGTCTCCATTTTGAGGCGAGGCGGAACCGACTCGGTTTTGAGGCGAGGCGGCACTGACGCGGTTTTCAGGAGAGGCGGCACTGACTCGGTTTTGAGGCGAGGCGGCACTTACTCGGTTTTGAGGCGAGGCGGCATTGACTCGGTTTTGCAGCGAGGCGGCACTGACTCGATTTGAGGCGAGGCGGCACTCACTCGGTTTTGAGGAAAGGCGGCACTGACTCCGTTTTGAGGCGAGGCGGCACTGACTCCATTTTGAGGCGAGGCGGCACTAACTCCATTTTGAGGCTAGGTGGCACTGACTCCGTTTTGAGGCGAGGCGGCACTGACTCGGTTATCAGGCGAGGCGGCACTGTCTCCATTTTGAGGCGAGGCGGAACCGACTCGGTTTTGAGGCGAGGCGGCACTGACGCGGTTTTCAGGAGAGGCGGCACTGACTCGGTTTTGAGGCGAGGCGGCACTTACTCGGTTTTGAGGCGAGGCGGCATTGACTCGGTTTTGCAGCGAGGCGGCACTGACTAGATTTGAGGCGAGGCGGCACTGACTCGGTTTTGAGGAGAGGCGGCACTGACTCCGTTTTGAGGCGAGGCGGCACTGACTCCATTTTGAGGCGAGGCGGCACTGACTCCATTTTGAGGCTAGGTGGCACTGACTCCATTTTGAGGCGAGGCGGCACGGACTCGGTTTTCAAGCGAGGCGGCACTGACTCCATTTTGAGGCGGTTTTGAGGCGATGGGGGCAGGCACTGACTCGGTTTTGAGGCGGCGGGGGCAGGCACTGACTCGGTTTTTAGGCGGCCGGGGCAGGCACTGACTCGGGAGGTGAGTTCGTCGAGGGCGGGGTACGCCTCCTGCTCGAGCAGCGCCGTGTGCGAGGCCAGCAGGCGGCACACCTGTTCCAGCGCCACCTCCAGCGCGATGAACTCGAATGGCCGGTCTGATGGGGTGTGCACAAGGGGGAGGGACGTCAAGGCAGGGGCGCGACGGTTGAAGTAGGGAAGGGGTGGCGGATCAAGTGGACGCGCAAGGGGCGACGATGCTGTGCTATGACCGTTGGAAGCGGACACAGGGATCACCCTACCTAGTGACTCTTCCGCTGGCCTTGTGGAATCACCATGGGTGTGTGGGTCCGCTGGCCCGCCCATGGCACCCCTCTTAGTGCAGTCTATGCGCACGCTGTGCCACCCAGCTGTGATTGTGATATGAGGCAAACGGAAACACAGATGCAAAGGAGGCGGTGGGGCCAGCTGTGCATGCACAGACAAATTACACCCCTGTGGACCGACTCACACTCCTCCACGTCCTCGTCGTCGTCCTCCTCCTCCTCGTCATGCTGCACCCCCTTTGCTCCCCTCGCTCCCCTCGCCCCTGCCCCAGCCTCAGCCTCTTCCTCTGCTTCTGGCCCCATGCCCCTCCGCAACGGCCCCCCCTCTTCCTTCAGTCGCAGCCGCAGAGTGAGCGGCTCGCTCTCAGCCATCGACCCGTGCTCACTGCCCACGCCGCCTGCCGCGTCTTCCTCCTCCTCCTCTTCATCTTCCTCCTCCCCCTCCCCTTCCTCCTCCTCCTCCACCTCCTCCTCGCCTGCGCCATGTGCCTCACCCCGTCTGTCCCTGTCTTCACCCTCCACCGTCTCAATCTCCGACGCAGGCTGTGCTCTCTGCCTCTCACTCTCTCTTCCCTCTTTGTTTCTCCCTAGAGCGGTGCTCCCGCTCTCCCTTCTCCCCTCTCTCCCTGCCCCTCCGCCCTCTCTCCCCCCTCCATGCACATCCACGTCCCGTGCCTCTCCACTGCCTGGGCCCTGCAATCTCTCCCGCCCATCAGCACCCGCTCCACCCGCACTGCCACTGCCGCCAGCAGCAGCACCACCAGCGGTGGCAGTGGCAGCAGCAGGGGCAGAGGCAGTGGCGGCGGCAGCAGAGCCTGCTGGAGTGCTTCTGGCGGCACCCGGGCTGGCAGCTTCAGCTGTGGTGGGCACCACTGCAGGGGCGGCCCCTGGAGCAGCAGGGGCTGCGTGGGTGGTGGGAGCACTGACAGCAGCGGCCTGCAGCAGCAGGCGCCTCTGCAGGTCGTCCACAAAGCGCTGAACGCCCTCGTGGGTGGGGTTGCGCAGCAGCACCTGGGGCCACGCACGCAGGTGCCGGGCGACATGGACGGATTGTGTTCGCACTAAGTTAGAGAAAAGGTGAAGAGGCAGGCAAGAGAGCCATGTAAGGGGAGGGGGGCTAGCCAGCGAGACAATGAGTGGCGCACTACCATGTAGAAATCTCGGAACCAACTTCAGTAATGATGACAGGCAAAGAAGGTTACAGTCTACAAGAGATGGGACATGGGACGCAGCAGCGTAGGGATGCATCCTGCACCCGCTGCCACACGGGCATGCAACGGCATGACAGACACTTGGCAGCAAGCGCAATAGAAAGGGGCGGAGAAAAGTACCTCTTCAGCTGTGATGATGGCCTTGAGATGCTGGCAGGCGCAGCCACGCAGACAAGGGCAGGCGAGAGGGATGCCATGCCATGTGGCGCACACACACATGCATGGTACGCACGCACACAGGTGTACAAGCAAGGGAGGAGCACGGGAATAGAGATGTGACATTGAGACGAAAAAACGCATCCAAGTCTTGAGACGACACGGCTGTGCACCAATCCATTGCCGCCCAAAGATCCCCGCCTTCCTTAAATGCTCATGTCACGTAGTGGCGTAGGCAAAGTGATGCAGACCGGAATCTGGAGCCCCACAAACGGAAGTTCACACACATCCCTGATCACACATCCCACATCCCACACTCCTCATAATGCGTGCATCCCCCTCCACGCATCCCACACCACACCACACATCCTGTATCATGCAAAATGTGTCACACATCACCCATCCCACACCCCAAATTCCCCATCCCACCTCTCACCTCCAGGTTGAGCACAATGGCCCTCTCACCTCCAGGTTGAGCACGATGGCCCTCTCACCTCCAGGTTGAGCACGATGGCCCTCTCACCTCCAGGTTGAGCACGATGGCCCTCTCACCTCCAGGTTGAGCACGATGGCCCTCTCACCTCCAGGTTGAGCACGATGGCCCTCTCACCTCCAGGTTGAGCACGATGGCGCGCTCGCGGCCAAGGATGGTGGAGGGGTAGGAGAGCAGCGGGTCGAGGATGCGCAGGTCGCGCGCGTGCAGCCCCGTGCGCTGCATCACCGCCGCGCGGTCCAGCCACTCCTCGCCCGCCCGCCCCTCCACGTCCACGCACTGCCACCGCACCTAGTGCCGCTCATGCCGTGCATAAGGGATGAAATGCACCCATGCGACGTGGGAGGAGACGGGCCAGGCGAAATGGGAGAGGGATGGGGCGGGAAAGCGGGAAGGGTAGGGATGACCAGGGGAGGGGAAACGGGAGGGGAGAGGGAAGTGGAGTAGGGGCACGAGTGGGAGAGAAAAGGGGAGGCAGAGGAGGCAAGGAGTGTGGGAGGGGTTAGGATCGAGAGGTGAAAGAAAGAAGAGAGAAGCAAACTTGCAAGGCATGGAGGTGCAGCTAGACATGGGCAAAAAAAATCGCATCGCATCGCATTTAATCGCGTGTTTGCGATGGCAATGTTTTTTTTTTTTTTAATCATCGCACGATGCGATGAATTAATATCGCGCGATTTAATTTTAATCGCATTTTAATCGCGCTAAAAAACGCGATTTAAATGCGATATGCGATTTTTAAAAAATCACGCGATATTGCACTGAAACCCACTCTGAAACCCACTACAAAACCACACTGGTTATTTGCACTCTAGCTTACGACTGCCCGTGAGTCAATTTCCCTGCAGCCATGTTTTTTTTCTGTTTTTTTGGGGTGTTTTTTTAATCTGTTTTAAAACGCGATGCGATTTAAAATCGCATTGCGCGATTTAATTAAATATCGCATGCTATTTTTTAAACATCGCGGGTAAAATGCGATTTGCGATTTTTTTTTTTTTTGAAAAATATATCACGCGATGCGATTTAAAATCGCATCGCTTTTTTAAACATCGCACCTGCATGCGATGCGATTTAAATCGCAATCGCGTTTTGATCATGTCTAGGTGCAGCAAAGGGTGAAACCGGAAACAGTCAAGCAGCATCAAGCCAAGCCTCTCTGGCTACTCCCCCACCTTGAGAAGCCCGCCTGCCTTCTTCTCCTGCAGTGCTGATGTGCTAGCAGCTGCTGCTGCCACGTGTTGCTCATTGACCGGATCCAGACGAGACCTCTGCTTAACGTTCTTCTGTAGGCAGTGAAAGGGATTGAGGGGCAGTGGCAGGGCGAGGGAGAGGGGATGATAAGAGTGGTAAGAGCGCTCTAGTGTGGTCAAAGAGGCTGGATAGGACAGGAACATGAGAGGGAGGAGAGGGAGGAAGTACTAAGATGAGCGTGGCACACCCAGCATCGCCCCATGCACGCATCCCAGAGCACCCAGCATTGCCCCATGCGCGCATCCCAGCGCACCCAGCATTGCCCCATGCGCGCATCCCAGCGCACCTGGTAAGCCGCGAACTCCACCGAAGCTGGCTGGCGCTTGGCGCCCTTCATGCTGGCCGGCCCAGCCTGGCGGGGGAGAGTGGGGCGAGGCTGGACGCCAGGCGAGTGACGGAAGCAACGGAGCGGGGGCAAGGCGAGAAGGGAGTGGGGGAGGCAAAGAAGGGGGTGGGCGCAAGGCCGGAAGGGGTGGGGGGGAAGGCAGGGAAAGGGGTAGGGGCAAGGCGGGAAGGCGGTGGGGGAAAAAGGGGAAGGGGGTGGGGGCAAGGCGGGAAGGCGGTGGGGGAAAAAGGGGAAGGGGGTGGGGGCAAGGCGGGAAGGCGGTGGGGGAAACAGGGGAAGGGGGTGGGGGCAAGGCGGGAAGGCGGTGGGGGAAAAAGGGGAAGAGGGTGGGGGCAAGGCGGGAAGGCGGTGGGGGAAAAAGGGGAAGGGGGTGGGAGCAAGGCGGGAAGGCGGTGGGGGAAAAAGGGGAAGGGGGTGGGGGCAAGGCGGGAAGGGAATTTGGGAGAAAGAAGGAAGGGAGTGCGGGCGAGCAGGGAAGTGAGTGGCGGGGGAGGCGGAAGGTACTGGCGGCAGGGCGCTCGCCGTGTGAAGCTGGGCGCGCGGGGAGCTATCGCCCGCGCTCGCCACGAGAGCGAGCAGCCTGGCACGTCCCTCTCTTTCATCGCCGGTGCCCACCGCGAGCGACAGCTGAGGACCCTGGCGAAACAGATTACGTGGCGATCGCTTGCGAGCGACCTGCAGCATCGCGAGCGATGGCTCTGGCGAGGGGCTACCGATCGGCCTGACTCGTAGCGAGCAATCACCTTGGCTCGTCACCAGCGTTCGCTCTGGCGCGTCGCCCGCTATCGGCGGAAAAAGAGCGAAACCACCCTGCGAGCTCACAGGCGAGATTCGCGACGATACAGGGGCGGCGCTTACCTCGATCTGTCTCTGGCGTGGCTGAATGTCCGAGCTGGGCAGATCCCGCCGTCTCCACCCAATCTCACACAATGCTGGTGCGTTGGAGCACACAATGCTGGATGTGGGACACACCCTCACTGGACGCGCCGAGATCGTGTCTCTGTCAGGAAATCATTTTTCCGAGGCCTTCTGTTATGACCGGGATGTGGCCACGTAGACCCAAATAGCAAATACAGGGGGTGCTTATCGGATGGCTGCGGTTGTGCTTATCAAAGTCCATTACGAGTCCATTTGTAAGGATTTCACGAATCATTACCGAGGCACGCTACAAGGAGTACAGCGAACAGTTCCCGCTCCCAGCCTCGGCCCTCAAGTCTCGCGTCAAACCAAAACCGCCGACCTACTCCGAACCGAACCTGTTACCAAGGCGCCCCGAACCCAATTTGACCCCGTCGCCCTCAGGACTCTCGAGCCCTTGACTGGTCCAACTCTCGAGGTTCAACCTGGTCAACTCGCACTACATAAGCCCTAGGCCTTTCATTGTCAGCCACATTCTGTAGTCACCCTCAACGATAAAAATTATGCGCTATACTCTGGATTAATTCATAACAGCTGGTATCAGAGCAACGATTCTGCCCATCTATGTTCCGATAGGGGAACATTCCCTATCGGAGAAGGGGGCGGAAGGATGCTGGTGGCGTAGCACTTCCGATGTCGCCGGATCCTGTCCGATAGACGGTTGGGATAAGCCGGTCTTCCCCTTCCCTAGGCGTAGACGGTATTATTTTCTATCGAGAGATGGCGACGTTTTTGCCAGAGTTTTCGGGTATGTTCTCTAGTGTTTCGAAAAATTTGGAAGGTTCTCACGACATTTTCGGATTGGTTTCCGAAAATTGCGAGGATTCGTCAGGAGAACAGAAGTGCATGGGAATCAGGCGGCCGGAAGATGGTCATTAGGAGCGCGCAAATGGGTGAAAATGGCGGGACGCACGGCGATGTGCGTCTGTCGTGCAATGTACAGTAGCTGCATGGTAAAGTGCAGTTGCGTCACTGGTGTCGGCGTTTCCGTCTGGCTAGTTGAAGGCGATGGACGGGACTTCCGCGACTATTTCGGCAAGGGCCGGCTGCGATTATTTCGGACTGCCACGATCGCACAGTCACACGAGTGGGTGAGCCAGACTACAACAGCTCGAGATTAACAACCTCGGCTGTTTTGCATGGGCTGTCTCATAAGGAGGTGATGGAGCTGTTCTTGAATATTTTCTGCGGGGGGCGACTTCCTGAGTTGTGAAGGCGATTTCGTGGAGCAGCGTTCATACCTCCATGATCAACGGAAATGGAGGCCATCATCTAAGGGTGTATATTAAGTGTTTCCCACCGAGGCACCGCAAGCGTCAAATCGTCAAGAGCTGGAGCTGTTGAATAAGAACGACAGGGAGAAGCCAATTTTTAGTTAAACGTTAGGCAACAACGGATCCTCTGCTGACGGAGCTTCGTCGCCCGAAGATCACCATTCCCACCATGGCGTCATGTCGACTATGGGTCGTCCATACATGGTTAAAGGGGAGTGAACCTGCGATCTACACTGTGCTGAGGGGTGTCCCCGAAATTTCATGAGTTACTGTAGCAGTGGAGTTGAGGTTTCACCTGGTGCAGGCGAAGGAGTTTCAGAATTTTGCGGATGTAAGGCGAAGGGTGTCTCACCCTGGCACGTCGGGAGGAAGGAGGTGTCCAGCGGTCGTGCGGAGACTTCTTTAGTCCAGTCGACTTTGTCGTGTGCCCTCCACGCCTCTGAGAGTGCAGGTTTAGAGGAATCAGTTAAGAAGCAGCAGTGCAGCAGTTTGGATAACCTGCAGCAGCCGCGAGATGGGTGAACATCTGCACGGCCAGCTGGTCAAGGGTCCCAGAGTATTTACGAGTTTGGGTTATAGCTATGAGGAGATCGGCGGCGTATGATGCTCGCCAGCCATGATCGACGGCCGAAGACCCATGCTCGGGCGGTGAACGACGAGTACCCTAGATTAAAGGGTTCAGTTCATGCATACAGCTGGTGACGGACCGATGAGGGTGCAGCTAAAGGACGGCGTGTCAGTACTTTACGGTTAGCAGTGAAGCACGTGCATCTATGAAACAGAATTGCAGTATTGGTTAAGCACCGGGTGTGTTCCGATATTCTCGCTGGTGCTGGAGGAGCAGTCGTCCAAGGTTTTACAGTTGGAGTTGTGCCCGCTATAGTCAGGGGTACGAGCAACATCGATCGACAATTGCGGAATGTTTTGGTTGCATGGAGGGGGGAGAGAGTACGAGGGTGTTCACTGGAGTGGATAGAATTGGTTACTTTCCATCGCCATCGTCGTTAACCTCTCGCCACCACCCGCTACAGCCACCATCAGCAATTCGTCCGATTCGCTCGATAGTGTGAACACTACCCCGCCTCGCCTTCCGAATCGGCAGCAACAGTATTGAAGCAAGAAGATTTGGCAGTAGTACCTGTTGGAAATGTATTGGGGCCAGCTCGCACGCAGTGTTTAATCTCGTAAAGATTTTCAAGTTTGTGTGGGAGTCTTTCTGGAGGAGTTATTGATGAATTTCAAGACCCTTGGAGCAGTTTTCCCTACAGAGGAATTTCAACTTTGGACCTTATTTCGGATTTCTAGCAGTTGGAGTTTTGAAGCGGCATCTTCAAAGCTGAGTTATGGGACGTTGGGTTTCTTGGAGTTTTACCCCAGCTACTGGGAGTTGTTTCTTCTTGGAGGGGGAGGAAGTGCAGCTGCGCTGCAGATTTCGTCTGAACCTTTCGGCGTGTTCCATCATCCATCTTCTACCGATTCATTCCTGTTACGCTTCTGATTTCGTCACCTTGTTGATGTAGTTCGCTGATTTTTGTGAGACACAGATGAGTGCCCTCGTATGTGTCACGAACGACCTCGCGCGTTGATTAATGGCTCTTCGTTATCCTACATCCACGTCCTTCGGCAATCATCATTTGAAGATATTCATCATGCCACACGTGATTATCAATCGCCCACTCGACAGTTTTCACTGTTCACGGGCTTCCACTGAAGTACTTACCCTTGCCCGTTCGATCAGCTAAAGAATTCGACAATTGTCGACAGCCACGATTAAAAGCGATAGTTTATACAACTTTCAATCGTAAGATCGTCTGTCGAGATTAACGATTCGATTGCCTCAACAACCTCAGGTTACCTCGCCGAATTCAAGCCCTCGACCGCCATTCGATTTGAAGGCTTCGTCAGATTACCAGTGACAATCTTCGCCACCGACAATGCTGACTCGTAATTATCGCTCTCGGTCAAGATCGTTCTCGACCAATCTGAGTCATCGGATATTGGCTCACCCAAGACCTTGTCAGGACAGCGTAATCATTGCACTCGTCATCTATAGTCTCATCGGGGATTACTTTTAATTACACTTCCGCCTTTGATATACGGAGGGCCTTCTTTAGAAGGTGGGAGAATGTTAGGATTTCACGAATCCTTACTGAGGCACGCTACAGGGAGTACCGCGAAAAGTTCGCGTCCGCAGCCTCGGCCCTCAAGTCTCGCGTCAAACCAAACCTGCCGACCTATTCAGCCCCAAACCTGGTACCGAGGCGCCTTGAACCCAATTTGACCCCGTCGCCCTCGGGACTCTGGAGCCCTTGATTGGTCCAACTCTCGAGGTTCAACCTGGTCAACTCGCACTCTATAAGCCCTAGGCCTTTCATTGTTAGACACATTCTGTAGTCACGCTCCCCTATAGAATTTTGCACTATACTCTGGATTAATTCATAACACCATTTCCCGCACAGCTTCAATCCGAGACTTCACCATGTTTTCTAAACCATGTTTATATTTTGTAAAACTAATTGGGGTCATGCAAGGAAGTGGAATTTCCCTCCTTATCCATGGTGTCGGAAATGAGAAACTCCAAAATTGCGTATTTTAGGAGTATCGAGAATCATACAAAACTCGAGCCAAGCAACATCGAGGACAAGAAGAGTCATCATGCTACAATACTCGTCGTCTGTTGAGAATATCGGGTAACACTTCACGTAAAGTAACGTGACACAACACTTCGCCTGAACAATAATAGCACGTCTAGAATAACGAGGCACTTTGTGTCTCGTAATTACAACAACAATAGCAACACATATACATATATATATATACATACAGTATAAATTCTCGTATGCTTCATGTTTTAATCAATCACTTGTTCTCACATACCAGTTCAAGGAATCACGACTTCTGCTATCCTACACGAAGCATTCTTAAGGACTTAGTCTTCGCCAAAGATCCCTTGGACTGCACTCAGCCCAATATGGTATCATCATAACCTTCGTCGGAGACTAGGTTCGCATTGTAAAGCTGATCGCTTGAGTTGCTAATGCTACTGTGGTCACGAATTTACTTTGAAGTTCTAACAAATAAGTTTACAAGACAGCTCACAAGGACATGGCACCATCTAAGGATGTGGGGTCCTCGTCTAGGGATCTCATATATCAGACGAAATCGGTTAGATTGTCTGAAAATCAAACCTGTTTTTTTCCATTCATCTGGATTTTTTATCGGCTAAATTAATTTGTCTAATCGTCCAGATGAGTCATAAGATTTCGTCTGAAAGTCCAGTCTAGGTGTAGACATTCATTTGAAAATTCACATAGCACGATTTTTTTCGTCTGAGATTGTTTTTCCGACTAAGTCCCCCGCTGCCAGATACATTCCCCTCACATCCCTAGAACCCCTAGTTTTCTCGGCTAAGTCCCCCACACCAGAGATATTCCTCCACACACCCCTCTCAACAATAAAATTCAGCTAAGTCCCGCACACTATGAGACATTCCTCAACACACCACACGCAACCCCGAAAACTCGGCAAAGTTCCTTATTGCGAGATACATTTCCCCACACAACCCTCGCAGCCCGTTTTTTTCCGGCTCCGAAAGACCACAACTTTATGGCTGAAGTCTCTCCCACACCTTCCCCCCTGTATTCTTGGATTTTGGCGAAGTTATTCTGAGAGCAATTTCGGAGAACATACACAATTATCCGACATCGCACAAGACTACCCTGCTTCTATACAAATACAAATATCGCTTGACTGGATGGGGGCTGGGGCGAACCTTGAAATGGCGGGGCGAAAATAGAGGGCTACCTGTTCGTAAGGGCCTGCGATAAGAGAGATTC